ATGCATCTTGGGATATGAACTCAAAGAGCCTGTGCTCTTCCTTCAGTCATCAATATCACTTCTTGTGAAGGAATAGGAAAAAAAGCTCCAGGAAAGCAGGTGAAGTCAACATTGGGGCAAGAAAATGGTCCACCAAGAGGGGGGGGGTCATTCAAGGTCAAGCTTGCTCAACGTGGGCAAGCTGCTTTAACCTCTTGCTTCTTGTTAAGTCTCTCTGAGAAATTTTCCAGTGCTTTCCCTTATAGACCCTTCCTGTGTGAGAGACTCTGTCTCTACTGCTTGACGCTCCTCCTCACCCAGGGGGAAGACTGGGTAGGATCTTTCTGCCAAGAAATTCATCTGGGGACTCAATTTCCCAACCAAAGAGTCAGGGTATTCTGGTATGTGCCTGTAGCGTTGAAATGTGCTGAGGAGGAGGCTCGGCGAGAGGGCAATGGGAGATGAGAAATTATGAGGTGTGTGTGTGTGTGTGTGTGTGTGTGCTTTTATCCAATCAAAGCCAACAACAGCCACATCCCTCTCCACACCTGGCCATGCTCCATTCACTGAGGAAGACACAAAAGCAACTGAACAAGTATATGGTTAGTCCTTGCCCTCGTCAGGGTGGTCCAGGCAGGAACAAGTGGGACCTTCTAGATCTTTAAGCTCCCAGCTAGCTGAGGGGGGAACAATTATGAAAAGTGTTGTCCTCTACTTGAACCTCTGGGCTTCCAGAAAATTCCTAGAGCCCTGGGGAAATGTAGGACACAAGCCAGCCCATACCTACCATGGACACCTGTGGTTTGTCAGCTTCCCTGTCCCTTTGGTCCCAGACATTCCCACCACCACCACCACCTCCCTTCCCTCCTTCCCAGGGCCTATACTGAGGGGGTGGGGTTTCAACTTGAAATCCCCTCAGCTTGGGTGGCAGAAAAGTCTGACCACCCCTTTGTGTCTTGTCAATCTACGGAGTGTTGAGTGTCTGGGTCAGCCACTTTGCATCTCCTGAAGTAGAGATCGGGGTGTACAACGAGCCACCCACACTCACTGGTCTGGTCTTTTATGTGACATGAATTTGCCAAACAATTATTCGGCCTTCGAAGGTCAGTTGGTGGCCAGGGAATAGAGAGAAAGGGACCCTTTCTCCCCTTTCTGCTTAACTAAGTCTCCCCCCACGTCGCCACTGCCCGCCCCCCTTCAAGGTCTAGCTCAAGCCCCCAAGTGCCTCACAAAGCCCTCCCTCTCTCTCTCCCTCCCTCCTCCAGTTGCCACTGACCTCCAAGTCCCAACCATCTCTGGCCTCTGCTCCAAGGAGCACAATTAGCACCTGGCCAGCCACCGGCCTGGCAGCTTGTCCTCGCCTCTGTTTCTGTGTCTTAGTCATCCCCCTACACACACACATACACACACACACAGAGCTTCACACAGGTTGGGCACACAGTAGGTATTAATAAATGTCCATGGAATTGAAGCCCAGCAGTCTCTGTGAGGTTAGAGCCCTCACAAGCACCCCGACCAGCAGTTTCTTGGCAACCAGCGCTGGGGCCCAAGCTATAGGGCATTAGCTATTACAGACCCTAGGAGGCTCAGCGGCCGGAGAGGTACGGGAAGGTTGGTGTTGATGAAAAAAGCCCTTGACCCCTAGGAAAGTGCCCATGGGATTCTGGGCACCTCAGATGAGTTTTCTGTCTCCCCTGCAGGACTAGTTTTCAGTCTGAGAACCACAAAGGAAAGAAATTGACAATGAAACCAGAAACCTCTTTGTAGCCTAGAATCCAGGCAAGCTCAGCAAACCCAGGTTGGGGTTATAGGTCAGGCTCTAGCTTGGGGAGAGAAGGTTCCGTGGGGGACCCCAAGAGGCTGCAGGTGACAAGTAGGCATAGGGCTACTCCAAGGGGGTATAGGAATGTTTGGAGGTGGCCCTAATAATGCCAACAAATCACAGGAAAGACTGTTTACCTTCAGGGGCCAAGTCTCCCTGTCCGTCTCGTTCCCCCATCTCACAGAACCTGGCCAGGCTCCTGGACCAAGGAGAACCCTTCAAGTCCGGGTGCCTGGCTCCTAGCATTGACTTGAAGACTTTAGCCTGGGTTTGCATTATTGTTTTTATTATCACTTTTCCTGGCCCCCTCCCATACCGCCCACCCGCCTCAGTCCAGCCCACACAAGAAGGGGAAGGCAGGCGCTGTCTTCTTCATACTCCTACTTGACTGATGACCAGTGCTGGACTGGATCTCAGTAAATGTTTGCTGAGCTGAATGGAAGCTGAGTTTTAGACTGTATCATAATGCAAGTTCATGCTTACTATGAGGCCCAGAATAAGCACTCAGCCATAAGGTCAGTTTGAACTATAAAGTTAGCGATTCAAATTCACCAGCCACTCCTCAGAAACCCTATACAGGGTCGCTATGAGTTGGAACTGGCTCGACAGCACTTAACAACAACAAAAGGAGTCCTGGTGTGGCGCTATAGGATAAGCACTGGACATCAAGGTCTGTTTGAACCAAAAGGTCGGCAATTCAAACCCACCAGTCACTCCTCAGAAACTCTATATAGGGTCAAGATAAGTCGGAACAACAAGGATGAAAGTAGAGAGTGTTGTAGGTTGGGCGTTGGACTGCTAACGACAAGATCTGTGGTTCGAGCCCACTGGACACTTATCTGTAAAGATTTACAGTCTCGGAAATCCTATGGGGCAGTTCTACTATAAGTAAGGATCAAGGCAACATCAGTGGGTTGGCTTTTGGATTTCTGGACCCTCATCACAGCTTTGCCAGGTAGGTCTTATTGGACAGATGAGGAAACTGAGGCATACAGTTGACTGGGATCGAGTCAGTAAGAGCTGGAGTTAAACACCCACCATCCAGTGCAGAAGGCAAAATAAATACACTGGTGGTGACAGTGAGATGTGTTTGTATGGAGAGAGCCAAGGCCAAGCTCAGGCCAAGTTTAGGAGCTGGGGTTTTCCTGGGAAAGCAAGCATCTCAGCCAGCTTCTGGCTGGGTCTCTTGGGGGAGGAAATGCCCTGGATTTTGCAAGCTAGGGGGCATTTGGTATAGCCCATCAATGAGGCCCACCAGTGACAGACCTCTCACTTTAGATCCCAAGACACGGCAGAGGGGACAGAAGCTACTGTATCACCACTTAAAGTTCGACAGGAGAAGGGTGGATTTGGGGCCCCCAGCTTGACCAGGGGTGGGCGCCAGTCCCTTCCAAACCAACCACGAGCAAACACAGTGCAGCAGTGGGAAGACTGCCAGGAAGAGTTGCAAACAAGCCACTCCTTCGGTTCACAGCGAGAGGCTGGGTGAGAGTGGCAACGTGGAGCCTGCTCGACGCCCCCCACCCCCACCCCAAGACATCCCAGGCTTTGAACCCAGCACTAGAGACAACCACGGGCATGGCAACCTCTTCCCCCACAGACTGGGATAGGAAGTTCTCCCTGATAATCCGCACTTTAACTCAAGACAGCTCCGTCCCAGCGCTTCTGCATGGGGTCCGCGGAATGAATGGTTGAGGAAGCACTTTGTAACTGGTCAAACCCTGTGTAACTATTGAGTGGGGGGGGAGTTGCATTCTTGCTAAGCATACGTGTTCCCTGGGCATTTTCAGTGCCAGAGTGTCCTGTCTCCCCAATGGGGAGAGCCGGATCGTTTCCTTCCTTACCCACCCCCAGCCTGGCACTCAAACCCGGGGTCAGCTCACAGGGGGTAAAGCCCCGATGGGCGTGCCCGCCAGCTGTTGGGGCCCGAGAGCGGAGCAGTAGTGGCTCAGGCCCTCAGGGTGGTGACCTCACTTCCGCTCCTACCTCCCCAGCACCCCTCCCATTTGAGGCCCCACCAGGCCCAAATCGAGAAGTCCAAGGTTAACTGTTCCTCCCCACTTTAAGAGCTAATTAAAATGATTAGCTACAATGAACTGTCAAACATTAACCTAAAGAAGCTGCAAGACCAGACAGGCCTCTATCTCGGAAAGAGGGATGAGGGGCAGGAATCAAAAGGCCATCAAATCAAATCCCTGGGCTGGGGTGTGGTGAGGAGGGGGTAGGCAACCCCAGAACCGCACTCGGCCCGGGTGCCAAGGGGTCAGGAGGCGACTCTGGTCAGAAAGGCCAGATCCCGGCAGAGTCGTGAGGAGAGGGCAGAAGGGTGTGGTTGAGTGGCTATGGCTGAGCAATCCCCCCGAAAGCCAGGCGCTGGCGGCAGGGGACCCCCGCTCTTTGAGGCGGCTGCGGAGTCCCCTTGGCGACGGCAGGGAGGGAACAGAGAGGCGGGGGAAGCCGGGAGAGCGGGAACGCCGGAGCGGGAAGCCTGTGGCTGGCTCACACGAAACTCTGGCCCCTGCCAAGAGGTCTCTATTTTGGCGATCCAATGATCCAAGTCATAAGTTTTTTTCTCTACTTTTCTTTAACCCCAAAGCACCTGCCCCCCAAACCCCTAGGAGCCGTCTGCTCAGTCTAACAGTCCCATCACTGCCCTCGAGCATCGAGCCTTCTGAAGGTCCCCGTCACCATCGGCCCGGTCACGGAACCCCTCCCCCCTCCACGGGCTGCCCGGGGCGCGGGGAAACTGTCCCACACCCATCTCAGGAAGCCGAGTTCACATCTGACTCCCGGGCAGGAGCTCGTGGTGATCTAGGCTAGAGCAGACTATCCCCGCCGCGTCGCCCCCACCCGTCCCTGGGCCCCAGCCGCTCCATACTAGGGCCCCTGGCGCCCACCCGCCTGCCCGCCGGCAAACTCTTCCAGGTCCCCAAAGGCTCCAAGAGCCGGCGCCATCGACGTACCTGAAGCCACTGGTGGCTTACAGCCAAGATCGGTGGCCGGGGTTCCCTCCCCGATCCCGGGGCCGCGACGCGGGTGTCCTTCCCGGCCGGGCCGCCCGCTGCCCTAGGAAGTCGGGCAGGGCCAGTGGTGCCAGCGAAAAGAGAAGTGGAAGTTGCGCGCGCGGCGCCGGGTCGGTCGGTCCCCGCGGCCGCCGGGGCTACCGTCATCGCCCGCCCGCCCCGCGCCCGTGACTCACCTCGGCGCCGGCGCTGGTCCGGACGAGCCAGCTGGTGCCCCGCGCCGCGCCGCGCCGCCGATGGCAAGTTGGAGGGCGCGCTGCGAACACCAGGTGAGCGAGTAGCGGCGCGGGAACAGGGCTCGGGTGGGGGCGCAGGGCGCGGGGTCCCGGCCGAGGGAGGGCGGCTGGGCGCCCGACGAAGGGGCGCGAGCCGGCCGAGACCTGCGCGGCGACCAGCGAGCGAAAGGGGAAACTGCACTGGAAACACACGTCCCTGAGGCGGCGGCTGGGGCGGGCGCCTGCGGCAGGGCGGGCGCGAGGGAAGAGCCAGAGGGAGGGACCGACCAGGGAGGGACCGACCCGGGAGGGCCCGCGGGCGGGAGGGGGAGGGAGCGCCAGAGCTGAGCATCACGGTGGAAACAGCGCCCCTCCGCCCCGGGCCGCCCGCACTGTCGCCAGCACAGCAGGGGAGACATGCCAGGGGCACGCGCGCTTGGGACCTGGGAGAGACACGCGGCGGAGGACCGAGCCCTATGAGCCTGCGTCGCGCCCCCTGACCCCGGATGGCGGCCCCTATTGCGCCCACCCTCCAGGCGGGAAGCTCTCAAACCACACCCGAGGACTCTGGAAGGCCTGCGCGCGCCTTTCGCTTGACGCCTTTGGCCTTAGTCCTGCGCACCAGGCTATTACTTTGAGGGCCTGCAGTGTGTGGACCTAGCTGGAGGGTGGGCAAGGCGGTGGTGGGTGAGACCAGGTGATGATGCCCAGAAGATATCACTGGGGACAATATGTCAAATATTGCGGAATCCCGGGCGGAATACACTGTGTGGTTGGGGTGACTGGAGATGTTTGGGACATTCCAGCCAAGTCGGGCCTAGGACTTCTGAGAGTCAGGGGAGGCCCGGAGGATGTGAATCAGTAGAGGGCCCGGGAGGGACTGGAGGAAGAGGGGCTGGCAGCAACAGGTAGAAAGAGAGCCAGACTTAGTCAAGTTGGTTCCAATTCAGAGCGACCCTACATACAACAGAAGGAAACACTGTGGGCTCTTACAGCATCCTCACAATCATTCCTGTGTTTGAGCCCATTGTTCCAGCCACTGTGTCAATCTGTCACATTGAGGGCCTTCCTCTTTTTGCTGACCCTCTATTTTACCAAGCATGATGTCCTTCTCCAGGGCTTGGTCACTCCTGATCACACCTTCAAAGTACCCCAACGACGCTTCACTAGGCTCAGTTAAGGAGCATTCTGGCTGTACTTCTTCCAAGACAGATTTCGGTTTTTTCTGGCAGTCAGTGGTACACATTTGGAGTCCTGGAGTGGCACTGTCGGGTAAGCACTGGACCACAAGTTCAGTTTGGACTATAAAGTTCAAACCCACCAGCTCCTCCTCAGAAGGAGGGTTGCTGTGAGTCGGAACTGACTCGATGGCACTTAACTGCAACAACAACATAGTGTATTTAATAGTCTTCACTTTGTAAACCCTATGGAGCCATTCTATGTTGTCCCATAGGGTTGCTGTGAGTTGGAATCTACTCACCAGCAGTGTTTCCTTTGTTTTCGTCTACTTACCCCAACCCCCATGGCTCTACTGGACTCCGGTGTCGCGCTGTAGGATCAGCACTGGATTGTGAACCACAAGGCCGACAGTTCAAACCCTCGGAAACCCTCTACAGGGTCACTCTGAGGCAGAACCGACTCCACGGCACTAACAACAACAAAAACAGCATGACTGTCTTTGGGGAAACTGGTGTGGTGCTGTAGGATTTGCACTGGAACGCAAGGTCAATTTGAACCGCACATTGGTGGTTCAAACTCACCAGCCGCTCCTTGGAAAGCCTATACAGGGTCGCTATGAGTCAGAACTGACTCAATGGTACTTAACAACAGCAACATGGCTCTATTTAAGGAAATAGTGACACAGTGGTGCTCTGGTAGCTGCTAACCAAAAGCTTAGTGATTTGACTCCAACAGCCACTCCACAGGAGAACAACATGGCTGTTGACTTCCATAAAGATTTATAGACTTGAAAACCCTGTGGGGCATTTCTACTCCTACAGAGCTGCAGTGAGTCAGAATTGACTCCAGGCAATGGGCTTTGGAGAACAACAATTAGTTTGGAGTCCTGGTGTGGAGTTGTAGGATAAACACCAGACTGCTAACCACAAGGTCAGTGGTTCAAACCCACCAGTTGTTCCTTGTAAACCTTGCACAGGGTCGCTATGAGTCAGAACTGACTCAACAGCACTTAACACCAACATTAGTCTGGGAGAGGTCCTGGTGTCACGTTAATTAAAGCATCTTCTCTGGTAGCGTAGTGGTTACGAATCGGGCTGCGAACCTTAAGGTCAGCGGTTCGAAACTACCAGCTGCTCCGCAGGAGAAAGATGAGGCTTTCTACTCCCGTAAAGATTTACACCCTCGGAAACCCTATACAGGGTCGCTATGGGTCGGAACCGACTTGATGGCACATAACAACAACAACAACTGCTAACCCCAAAGTCCATGATTGGAACCCACTAACTGCTCAGCCAGAGGAAAATGTGGCCATCTGCTTCCCTGAAGATTTATAGCTTTAGAAATGCTATGGGGTGCTTGGAGTTAGACTGGACTGCATTGTAACAGGTTTGGCTTGTTTTGTTTTTAATCTGGGGGAGGGGCCCAGCTAGGTCTCAGCCTTGGCATCTCCTTGGCAGAAGGGGCACCAGAGACAGAGGGTCCTCTCTCGGAGGGGCAGGGATGATCAAAGGACCTGAGGTTGAGGGACCTGCTCAGCCCCCCAGTGTCTGCCTGCTCCCCGAGCCTCGGGAAAGGCCAATCCCAGCACAGGACTAGGGGACAGCGGTGGTGGATGATAGCAGATTCCAGGCTTCCAGGAAAAGACCCAGCATCTAGATTGGGATACTGGCCCCTGAGACCCTCCAACTACCCATGGCCAAGTCTTGGAAACAAGCTCCAAGAGCAAAGGTCCACTCCTCTTCATTATAATTTTTACAGGCAGGCACACGTTTCCCCATGGGATTCCAAATCCAGGAAACCCATAGCTCCCTGCTGGTCTCCCACCTATGACATTCCCCTTCAGCACTACGGTGGGTTCCATGCCCCCCTAAGTTTCCTTTACCCTGACCTCAAAACTCATCAATGGACACAAATACACTTCCCCATTTTGGTAAGAGTTCACTGGTCTCTGACATCATACAGAACTACACCAGGTACAAGTTGTGTGACTTTGGGCAAGTCTCTTCAATTCTCTGGGCCTCATTTTCCATATCTTTAAATTGAGGGTAGTAACAACCTATCTCACAAGACTTTAGTGAGATCTGAACATTGCAGTAAGCCTTCAAGAAATATTAGCAGCATCTTCACCCTCATTTCTCCTTGCTCAAACTAAATTTTCATAGAGGTCTTCTTGGGAAAGACTGGGAGAGGGGTCAGCACTATGCCGCCTTGTTTGTGGTAGCTGGTCCTAAAGCCTGCCAGTGACTTGGAGCCTGTGGCTTGTGGAAATCCCATAAATTCCCACTTGGACCTTACTAGATAGATCTCCATGATCTGAGAGTCACAGTCATGGCAAACCCCACTTTTCACAGTGAAAATCCTACACTGACCTTGCCTTGGAGACAGACCCTCCTGACTCCTTGACTCCGGGCCAGCTGGGTGGCCCTGCTGTTCCTCAGTCTGTCCCTTCCCCACCTGGCTCCCTGTTGCTTTCCCACTTACCCGTTGGGGAGCGCCAGCCAGGTGGGGCCAGTCAGACAGAGCTCACCACTCTTCTGATGACAGCCACACTGTCTCTGCCAGTGGTTCATTCCCTGACTTGGCAGGAATTCCCCTTCTCGAGTTGCCCATGGATGCCCAGGCTGCACTACCCAGCAATGTATTCTCTGCTTCTCTCCTTCCAGACACATTCCTTCCTCACTCTCTGACCCGGTCCTCCCAGATCTCAGAGCACAGGGGCCTCCTGGCTGCCCACGGCTCTGTGGAGCCACCTCCCTAGTTTTGCACTCAACTGGCCCTTCCGCTTTGACTTTTTTCTAAGCCCCTCTTTTGTGAGCAAGGAGCTCTGGTAGCGTAGTGGTTGCAAGTCGGGCTGCTAACCTCAAGGTCAGCTGTTCGAAACTACCAGCTGTTCCGTGGGAGAAAGATGAGGCTTTCTGCTCCCGTAAAGATTTACAGCCTCAGAAACTCTATGCAGGGTCGCTATGCGTAGGAACCGACTCCACGGCACATAACCACCACCATCACCACCTTTTGTGAGCAGTGCCTAGCTGGCCCATGTTCTTCTGCAAAGCAGTCCAAGTTCTTGACAGACAAAGGGCCAGTGGCTTTCTCCCTCGCTCAACCTCTTGGCTTCAACACATTCTATTCAAACCTGTGGCCAGAACAAGATACCACAATGCGACAGCTTCTGTGGCCCTGGCCTACCCTTTCCACATGCCGGAAAAGTTATCTGTCAATGAAACTTTGATAGATAACTCAAAAGCTGGGAGAAAAGTTAGGGTTTAGAAGGTCTCTTCCCACCTGTAACGTTGACAAACCCCCTATAATCCTTTCTATAAAGCCGATAATCACCCCTTTGTTGATGTGCTTTGTAACTCCAGATTGGCATCTACTGGGTATACATGACTAGGCCTTAGATAGTAAAACGACAGGGGTCGGAAATCTCTAAGTCCCAGGCTGTGACTGGTCAGCAGAAGAAGTGTTTGTTCTCAAAAGATTAATGAGTAGCTATAACACAGAATTCCACAGGACAGGTTACACCAATGTTCTCCTTCCGTAAAGTCCCTTGCTTGACTCACATTTGGAAGTGGGGGTGTGCCAGGCTAAAGCATAGGTTGTGAAGATGGATGTATATACTTAGCAATTTTCCACATCAGGACTTTCATCTGGCCAGTGGCCTTCTTGACTTGGGAGCATAGAATCGGGGTCCTTGGAGCTCTTGGAAAGCATCTGATCCCTCCTGCCTGCCCTCAGTTTACTCTCATTAAAATGGATATTCCCTTCTTGCCTGTAGCGCCTTGCTGGGGCAGGTCCTGGAGCCCCTAGAACCCT